TTCTGACTCTGACGTGCTGCACAAACAAAAACAAACGTTAATAGAAAGAAGGAAAGTCAGAAGTTCTGGGTCTGCTGCGAACACAAAAGTCTTCAGAAGTTCTGATGCCAACTGACAGAACTTTGTCTCCCTCTCCGTGCTAGTCATAACATCTGAAACTTAGTAATTTTTCAACATAACTGAAGTTGCACATATAACAGTTATGACAGGTTTCATAGCATTTCAGAAACAAGAAATATCAGAACTATAAATCAGAGGCAAGCGTGAATTTGCTAATCCTAATTCTGAGTTCTAATTTCTTCCAGAGGTTCTGAACTGACTTATTCCATACTTAGGCAGATAAATACGTGAAGCCTCGGAATATGTACAACATCAGAAACATGATGTCTACATTGTATTTTTGAACATGCAAATCTGGTAATGCTTAAGTAACGTGATAAGAGTCAGCAGAAGCTTACCTTACAGCTGAAAATATTTTGTGAACTGGAGGTTGGTCCTTAACTTTGGTGATGTTCTGAGCCACTTCTTCACATACTCAGTAGGATGGAAGTTTTTAATTTCTGGAATAGCCCAAGGGTGATGTTCTGACTTCTTTGAGGTGAAGGTGAATGGAGAGTGTATGGCAGTATGAATAAAGAAGTTAGAATAGCTTCTAATATGTAAATCAGCAACTGTGGGGATGGTTTTAGTCAAGGAACAATGGAGTTTTGATGCTAGAATCAAATGCTAAGGTTTTGTATTTTGGTGTTTACAGTTTTTTGGATTCTTGGATTTTTTGCAGGGATTCAAGGCTTTTTTCTTTCTTTTGGTGATTCTCTCTCTCCAAAAGCCAGCCCCTTGAACGTGTGATGGAGAAAAGTATTTATAGATGGATTTGTTGTGGTTTTAGGGGAAAAAAAGGGATTCAAACCTTTTTGGTATATTGTTCCATTGCTTGTTAGTCACAGTTTTCGTATGCTAATTTGATGCAAATATGGGGTTTGAGAAAGTGCAGGCGTGGACTGGGTCAACAACAATTTGGAGCGTTGTAGCAGCTGGTTGTAGGACTGTTCCATAGCAGGGCAGCAAGTTACTTAAACTAGGTTTTGGGATTTGGTGATGTTCTGATCACAGAAGATCAGAAGCGTAGCCTCTATGTGCTGAAGAGTCACGTTCTGATGGAAGATTATGTTCTGAACCACGTTGCAATTTCTGACTGCGCTTGCGTAGAGACTGAAGAGCCATGTTCTGATTGAAGGCTATGTTATGAACTATGTTTGCAACTTCTGACTGCACTTGCATGGAGGCTGGCTCAGAAGTTCTGAAGTATCACATACTCTTACCACTTAGAAAATTTTCTAAATGTTTAAAAAATTTGATTTTTCCAAAGTAACTTCTGACTCTTGATTTTTTGATGAATCAATCTCATGTCTTGATGAAATAAAATTGTTGAAACTTGATTTGATCTGAAAGTCAAAGTTTGACTTTTTCAGTGTGCTTTTGACTATTTTTCCCTTATGGATGATTTCCTTGAAAAATTGCAGTTCAAGGCTTTGAATTGGATGGAAGTAAACTTGAAGATCCAGGGCGATTCCTTGAGAAATGAGAGGGCAAATTTTGGGGTACAACAGCTTGTCTGCATCCATAAAAAATTTGGTAGCATTTATGAGCTATCTCTATAGAATTGTGTGTTTGTGTACAATATTTTGATCGTAATATTACTTGAAAATTCCAAAATATTTTTGTTTTGTTTGTGTATAATATTTGGGTAAATTAAGATTTTGTGTTGTTAAAAAATGTGATGTTATCCAAATATTCCAAAATCTTTTGTGTTGTTTTTGTATAAAACCTTGTTAAATTAGCTTTTACGAGCTACCTATAAAAAATATTGAATTTTCTAACTAAATTAAAAATATTCAAAAACTTGAGTTTTTGACCTCAATTAATTCATTGATTTAGTGTGTGAAAAAACTTTGGTAATATTGAAAATATTGGCTTTTTAATGTCAATTAAATTGATTGAAATAATATTGAAAATATTACTTATTTTTCAAAATATTATTTAAATGTATGAAATACCGAATTCAATGGAATGCACCACCGTTTTACAATGGAATAAAGTAGAATTGTTACATAAATAATTTATCAAAAACACAATTGTTTACTGAAGAAATATATGAATGCTTTTTCTCCAAATTTCATGCTCATTGAATATTTCTCCTTGTAACACCTTTTAAACTCCCGCGCAAATAATATAGAATAATCATAATAAATTAGCATGCATATCAAAAGAGGATGTAACATTTACTTCACGACAACAACACAATATATTGGTCATGCTTATAACATACATTTAAAATCATGCTCCATACACTAACACATATGCATCTCATAACAGAATAATTCTCATTTCAAAATAATACTAATGATTGAAATCCCATACTGACAGTCATATAATAAAACATTAGCACTAAAGGCCACCATCACATGATCTCGAATATAACATAAATATCCAGAGAGTATAACAAACATCTCTCAAAACAAACATGAATATAATAATATAACATGAATCCAAACTTTTCCCGTATTACATGAGCAGAACATGATTCACTATCTAAATAAGGGTAAACAATGAACTAGCTCCTTCGAGTAATCCTCCCTAGGAGCACCACTGCTATCCTCAGTACCTGAGTGATATCGTATAAAACATCATTTCAACATAAGGGTAAGAATTCATATCATTATAGAAATATATAATAATAAGTAATGCATAACAAACATACATCAATTGAATTCATCACACTTCACATAATCATGTATTCAACATACTTTAACACAATTCACATGATTTCATATACAACATTTCTCAATGATTCAAAATTCAAAGATAATCAATCACAAATACCACAAATATAACATTCACACGAATATTACATATTGCACACCAATTCAACATTCACATCGACACATGTGACTCCAATACAACTCAATGCAATATACATGTGGTACCAATTATTATCCTTACTTGTCCTTCCGGGTCCATCTCTCATACAGATAACCACCAAAAAGTCCATCCTTTAAGCTTCAAACCAGTCCTCTAGGTTTGAGACAAGTCAATAATTTCCACAGAATTACCAAACATTGCCTCTTAACAACTCATGATGCATGTGTAATCTCAACATATATATGCAATTAAGACCATATCCATATCTTAATCATACAAGCATATTTTACATAATTTAACATATTTGAATTATCTTCACCAAATTCTAAAACATACATACACCATGTCAACATTCACATACAATGCATATCCATAGCATTTATCAACTCAACACATCCTAATAACATATAGCAAACAATGTCCAACCATATTATTCACATTCATCATCAATTCACAATATACATATACATAAAATTCAAGTATTAGGTTTTCATCAAAAGTCATCCAAAACCTATCCAATACATATCTTCAATAATTCATCACACCTGAATTACCATATATTTGCGCATACATACATATACTCATGAATTATTCACATACAATTCATATTTATAGTATCCCTGCACTAAAGCATAGTCACATCACATAATAAACAATGTACAAAATATCGTTACAATCCAACACCAATCACCAATATGCATAACACATATACATGTCATTTTACACAACCACATAATGATTAAATTACCTACTTCCAAAAAAACTATTTTTATTGAAAATAATATCGCGCTAGCTTTCTAACGCTTTGAACGAGGACTCAAACGGAGTTACGCTTCAAAAGTTATGAATTTTTGAAGTTTGAAAAACCTGTCAGCTTCAGCGAGGTAACCGATTACTTTAGCCAAGTAACAGGTTACTTCACCCTCCTGAAGCTCTGTTACGCAAATTTTCATTGAAGTAATCGGTTACTTAACTGAAAACAATGAAAAATCTAATTTTCAAGTTACGAAAATACCTCTTTTTCAATTCCCAAAATCCCAAACTTCAAACAAAACATAGTTTTCCATGTATTAAATTATACTCACATATCATACAACATTTGCATACATTTATAACACCAATTTCATCAATTTAAGTGCATACATATTCTCATTTCATCAAATCCAAACAAATTGAAAAAAACTAGAAATAGAAAGTATAAATCCCTAATCACGTTACTACCCGTCACATACCATTACATACATCCATAAATTAAAGAATACACACCCTTACCTTAGATGTAGACTCTTTCTAGGGTTCTTCTTCTTTCTCCCTCTTTTCTCCCTTTTCTCCCATTTCTTCTCTTCTCTTGTTTTCTTTACTATCTCTCTCTAATTCTATATTTTTCTTATTTTGTTCAACTCTCACTAATTTTAAATGGGCTTAACTTCACTCACCCACTCTAATGTAACTAAGGACCAAATGTGTATTTTTCTATTCTCACACTCAATAATCTAATAACATATAATACACACATATTCCAATTAAATCAATTATTCACATAATCACCCAATTTAATCAACCAATCACATACTCACCAAAATTAAATAATTAGATAATTATCAAATCAAATAATAATTAACATAGAAAGTAAATAATAAAATAATTAATAAAGAAAATCAGGGTGTTACACTCATCACACTTCAATCAAATGATAAAATATTTTATCAAGATCTATGTGCTTCAAATTTATCCGTGTTATTCAACATTATTAGTGTCATGCAGTCACACAATCAACAATGTAAGTTGTTTATCAAGATCAAACAGTTACGCATATTGAAGGAAGTGTTTGTTTAAATAATAATATCAGTAATATTGAATGGATTAAAGCATACATATTGAATGTATGAGACATTTTTGAACAATATCAACTTGAAGGTCGTGTAAATGAGGAGTTATTTTTTCCATTTATAAACTGAAACATCAAACAAGCCATTTGTTGTAAACCCATTTTCAGAAACAACCATCATTAAATATCTAAAACGCCTAGTGTTTAAGTAAGAAGTTACCATCACTAGTGTAGAATCTAAATTTGACTTATGTCTTATTCTACTTATAATTGGTAAGATACCAAACAATAATATAGAAAAGTATGGTGTATATGCATTTAGCTTAGCTAATATGAAACTATCTTAATTTATAAGTAATACTCTTGTTAAATTATTGGATCTGCAGTCTGTTAACTCTTGACACAGATGGAGTGAATGAAATAATTGGTATAACGGACCAAGAAGTGAACCAACCTCCTAATGAGGATCAAGTGGAAGAACTATTTCCTGAGATCAATGTTCCTCAAGATCATGGTTCATATGAACATGTCAATGAGAATGTAGCATGGTTGGCACCAGATTTATTCTGGGAGAAAAAGATCACCAAGGCTCTGAAGGGGGGAAATGTTTTACTAACAATTTATAATAAGTTGGACAAAAAATAATATCGCCATATGTTTTTACATGTTTAATACAATATCAATTTTTTGCTAAGCTCTATCTGACAAAACTTCATACTTTGAAGCATTTTCCAATTGAGGTTATTAGGAGGTTTACGCGAAGGCTAAATGGAGTACATATTGGTGGATCTTGACACTGTGAACTATTATGAGTGTGAAATTATGAGTTCACTCAGACCAAAGGAAGAGATGTACCTTGGCTACGAGTGGTATGAGTACACCAAAGATAGAAATTTTAAGGTGGGAGATATGTTGGTATGCCATTACCACTTTTCTTCTCAGATGTTGTATGTTAGGTTGTGGAGACGTCCCCGAATGAACAATGATTGAAGGAAATAATGAACATATCATCCGTCTGGCTGTTTACCGTGGGAATTGGTAAACAACCGCTGATCTTCCAAATGGTTACTTATTTGGTGACTCGCAGGATCGATCAGATTGATCCTAAGACATGGTTGATTTTGGGGTTTTGACTAAGTTTGACAATGGTTAAATGACAAGAAAATAAAGAAGCTTTATGTAAATTGCATGAAGAAGAGAATTTGATAAAATAAAGGAAGGCTTGAAATAAAGGCTTTCGACTGGAAAAGTAAAGGAGAAAGCAAGTAAAGTTTCTGGAAAATAAATGACTTTGATTAATAAAGTGGTGTTTCACACATACATTCTCAACAATTCTTTCTCACACGCTGGGTACTCGAATTTATATGAGTGACTTGTATATAATTGTGAACACACGCGAAAAACTGCGTGAACTACTAATATTTATACTAAACATCCCAAGTAACCGTCGGGCAGTTACACTGCTTCGAGATGACTCCACTTGGCACGTTCTCAGCGTTCGACGCTCCAGATCTTTGCACGTTGCACTTGGTAACTGCTGGGAACCGTTTTCCCTCCAAACGTTTGAATTTCAAACCGCCCCACTCTGAGCAATCGAACACCTTCGTCGAGAGGCATCTTCGACGAACCACACCTTCGACGTCGAAGGCAACCAAATTCTCCCTTGGAAGAAACTCTCTAAGTACATTGCCATCTTCTGATGGGCATTTCAACAGACCCAGCTGGTCGAAACTATCCTTCAGCTTTAATGGCTGATATTAATAAAAACAAGGGTGTCGAATTAAGGAGCCAACAAATTTCCCCCCAAGAATGCCTTATTTCGACTCTGAAAAGAAAAAGGCATTCTTTGAAACTCCATTCGACACCTGTCTTTTCAATCTTAGTCACAAATTAAATTGTGCACTTTTTTGTCTTCTACCAACCACTGACAATCCCAAGAAAAAGCCATCATTTCATCCGTACCTAAGACGTCACCTCAGTACGGCGTGCAGCATGCCAAATGTCTTTTCACAAATTGTCATCATGACAATTCCCAAAAACGAGGGCGCACGCTGCACCCTTTCATTTCTGCAGAACGGCTATGTCAACAGGGGGACGCCACGTGTCCCACTACCTTCTGCAACATTAAATGGCATTAAATGGCCTCGAATTTGGGGATTTCCCAACTACTATAAATAGCGCCAAGTACCCATTGTGGGACTTTTTCACGCTATCTTGCCTTCAAACTTCCTTATTGAATACAAACTCTCTGCAAACTTTGCAAACAACTTGTTCTTCACTTCATCTTCAACCTTAACATCAACAATGGCGTCCGGTTCTTCCACCGCTCCTAGTTCTAACATCCCCTCCGGAAATGCTAAACCCAAGATTTTCTCCACTGCCCCCGTAGTTACTCCTACAGGCCAACGAAGGGTTCCTGAGCCCCTAGACATTGCTGAACGTGACGCTTATTCACGCCAACTCATGATTCCGGTTAGATACTCCAACCAAATCTTCGCCATGTCTGGCCCGCTCAACCCAAGCATCGCTGAAGCCATGAAGATCAAAAGCTTCTTTCCAGTGCTTGAAAAACTCAAACCTGTTGGATGCTCTAAGAAAGATGCAGAGGATAATGAAGATCCCGCTAAGGAGAAAATCGATCTTCGCTTTTTCAATAGGGGTGTTAGGGCTTTCAGGTCTAGCCCTAGCCTCACTCCTGACTACAGTGCTTGGCTGGAAAAAATGGAGAAAAGCCAGGCTTCGATCTGGAAAGACCTGGGGATATTCGACCTAGTTATGTTGTCGAAGACGGGTCTCAACTACTCCCCAGAAATGTTGATAGCTTCCTTACTCTTCTGGGATTACACTCATTTCACCTTCCATCTTCCCTGTGGAATGCTGACACCCACGCTGTTCGACGTGGCTGCCATCACTAGCCTTCGACCCACTGGGGACTATTTCGACCCAGAGGAAATTTCGGAGGATCAGATTGGATTCTCTGCCACAAAACCAACCTACACCACCTATATCAACCATTACCACGATAAGTCGATAGCCATTGTGTCAGATGTAGAGCATATCACGTTTTTAGCCTTATGGCTGTCACGCTTTGTATTCTGCACAAAGTCTTTACAGGTGACAAAGAATATGGTCACCCTCACCACCCAACTCCACCATGGCCAAAATATTTGTTTGGCAGAATTGATCTTTGCGAATCTGTACGAGTCGATTAGCAGCGGAGCGACTCTTTTGAAGATCATCGAGAACAGAGCCAGTCTGCTGCTTGCAGGACCTTTTTGGCTACTTCAGCTGTGGCTCAATGCCACCTTCGAGTCTTTCTTACCTCAGAAGACTCAAATAAATGAGCAAGCTCCGGAGATAGCAAATAGGTGCATCGAAGGCACCAGATTGGCTCTACTGACCCCAACTGAAGATGGGCTGGAGCTTCAACAAACTTTTACAAACTTCGTCTTGATGTTTGCAAAAAGGAAAGAATTTGTTTCGACCATGGCTCCCTTTGCTCGACAAAAGGTTGGTCCAGAGTGGTTCACGAGGCCCCATCCTAAGTCGTCAAGTGGCCCTCAGGTCAAAGAACATACAACAGTGTGGGAAGCATTTCTCACACCAAGAATAATGCCCCTGCGATTCAAGAGCTCCAAGACTCACTTGAGCCTGATCGCGTATCAACCAAACTTGGTCTCCCGCCAGTTTGGTATCATTCAAACACTTCCTTCTCCTATTTTTCCCAGGGAGAAGTCTATGTTATACTTTTGCAACGACTACACTGAAGACGCTGCCACTAAGCATATCGGCAGGTATGCTGGTCGAACAGTTCTTTCGTTGTTCGACTATCAGCTTAACTTTCTCTGCTCACCATCCTTCGAAGAGTGGTGGAAAAGTTACTACGCTGAAGAGTTCTTCGACGAGAAGGACTTCGTGGACGAACTTCAGAAGTCTTTTGTTCTTGTCTTGGACAAAATAAAGAAATGTAAGTTCATTCTTCCAAATTATTTTGTCTTTCCCTTTCGACTGGCAGCCTGTTAATTATTTTGTCTTCTTTCAGTTGTTCGAAAGCCTGCAGCCAAGAAAGCTGCAGAAGGCCATCAGGGAGGAGGTCCCTTGACAAAACCTCCACCACCGGCGAAGACTATAGCACCGGCGAAGACTACAACAAGCCATCAGGGGGAAGGTCCTTCGAAAAAGCCTTCTGCACCGGTAACCAGACTTTTATTATTTTCTTCTGGCTTTAACATTCGGACTTTAGATGTAGCTTCTAAATCGAACTCCAATTGGTTTTTAGGCACCTTCACCCAAGAAAAGACCTGCTCTGACGGTCGAATCTGGGAGTGACGAAGTAGATGACTCTCCCCCCGCCCCTCTAAAAAGGCGAAAACTGAAGAAGGATGTTCCCTCTCCTGAGACTCGAACAATCAGAATAAAGGTTGCTGGGAGAAAACCCAGGCCACCTCCAGTAATTATTGAAGAGCCAACGGAGGAGGAACTAAATGTTCTTCTCAATAAACCTGTCGAAAGCGACAATTCCAGCCCTGGGGCTGAAGTTCCTCTGCAGGTAATTTCTTTGACCCTTTTTTAACTCAGGTGTCGATACCCACGTTCGATTATGTCCCTTCCTAACTTAGAAGATTCTTCTTCTGCTTTTTCCAGGAAACCACTGAAAACTCAGCGCCAAAGACTTCTGAAACGTTAGATTCTGCTGAACTCAGTAGGCCACAAGAAAAAGACTTGGCGAACGATGAAGCCAATGCTGAAACAGATGAAGCCAATGCTGAGACAGAAGAACAACAAACAGAAGATCCACAAACAGAAGAGCAACAACCAAAAGAGATTCAAGTGGTTGATCTGTCGGAGGAACAACATGACGAAGGAGGTCATGCTGATGCTGGTACCGCTGATCTTCAAGTCGAAGAAAGTCAAGTCGAGGCAAATGCTACTCAACAGCCTCAACCCCAAGGCAATGCTGCTGCGAAGGTTACCACCTCAACAAAGCATAGGTCGAAAGAAGACTTAGCACTCTTGAAGCAAACTGATCCAGTTAGCTATCTGAATGCCATTATCGAGAGCAAGCGAAGTTCGTCTGATATTAGTCAGGAGGCTTCTACTCAGTCGGGGAAGTCCACCGAAACTTCTCCTCTCGATGAGGCTTTGACGAAGGTTAAGGCTCAGTTCTTCAAGAAAGATTTGATGAAAGCTTTGGAGGGGGACCCTACTGCTCCATCATATTTGGGGGCTATTTTGAATGCCGTAGACTTGCTAGCTGTGACTCCGGAGGTTTCAGGCTTTATCATGGAGTTACACTCCATTATTGACCAAGTCTCAGCAGACTATCAGCGACAAAGGGGCTTCAACAGCCAGCTTGAAGCGTTATATGGCAAAAGTTCTTCTGCATGGACTGCTGTAGCAGAGACGACTTCTCGAATTGCAGAGTTGTCGAAGCAAAAGGCATCTAAGCAGGAAGAAATTGATGCCATAGATCGAGAGAATGCTTCCCTAAAGGCGCAAATCGAAGAGCTAGAGGCCAAGATGAATGCCAATACTAAGCGCAAGGAGGAACTTCTCTCGACTGTTCCAGACACCGAGAGTCAAGTTGAGATCACACAAGGCCTAGAATTTGCTGAGAAAGCTCAAGCCTTCGACGACCAAATTGC